AGACGGAAGGGTATAGTTTCTAGTTGTAGTAGAAATTATACTTACCTGTTGGACACTGCTATAAACCTGTAAAGGATTCTTGTAGCCGTGTTATTGTTATAGTACTGCTGTTAAGAAGGCCACGGTACTGTAACAATATGATAAAGGGCCTAATATAAGACAAAAGAAAAACAAGCATTGAGAGCTTAGCGCAAGAAAAGATCATAGCAAGAAAGGTGATAGGCAAGGTACTTAATAGGTTCGGAAAGAGATTCTACCAACATATATAGAACCTTAGATGTGAATTACAAATCGAATAAGAAAGGAAAAAAGGAATTTTAAAAAAAAACAAAAGATCCAAAAAGAAAAGAGAAGCCAGAAGAACCTATATGGACAAAGAAAACATTCCAAACCCAAAAAAGAAAAAGAAAGAAGAGCACAAAGGAGTAGTATTCAGAAATATCAAGAATCTGGTTCAGTATAGATTCAAACCAACTTGGTTATCTCTAACAAGATATAAAGTAAGTACGAATTCATAGAAATAAGGTAGTACTGACAAGATGCGTAGCTGCCAGCTGATAACTGAGAAGAAAAAAGTTTCTAGCAAGTTAAGAACCCCAAAAAAGGCCAATAGTTACTGAGACAAGTTGCATCAGGTTTAGACTTGATGTGCCTTTTGTTTGGTTAGATTAGTATAGCTATAAATAGAAATTCATGTAATTTTTTGAATAGTTTTAATCTCAAATAAACAGAGGCAGATTGCTGAATTATCAAAAAAAAAAAAAAATTAAACTAAATAATATATTTGTATTGAAAGATTATAAATATACTTGCTAACAAAATTATTTTAGAGTTTAAAACCCAAAATTAAAATTTGAAAATAATATTTTTTTAAAAAGACAAAATTATAAGAAATATAACTACCTAAATTAAATTTGCTTTTGTATATAAAAAATTCTACAATCAACTCTCTCTAAATACAATTCATACAAATCATATAAAAATTTTAAAAAATTTTGTATTTAGGAAAATATTACATTTAGGAAGATAAAAATCTATAAGTGTATATATAATAAAGACACAGCAAGGCTATGTATTTATAGAGGTTTTTTATAGAACATGCATTTAAAGAGGTTGCATTTATAAAGACCTAACTATAATTTGCTCTAATAGAGATATCACTGTATCAAAAACATAACTCTAACTGCATCAAAAAAACAATTCTAACTATATATGCCAACAAAATTATTTTGAAGTCTAAAACTAAAATTAAAATTTGAAGATGAAATTGTTTTTAACCTATTTTACTTAAAAGACAAAATTTTGATACTTTTTTTGAAGAAATGAAATTATAAAAAAACATAACTACCTAAATTAAATTTGCTCTTACATATAAAAAATTTTAATTTGCTTTAATGGAGACGAAATAAGTTTTTTTTTGAAAATCTATTTCAGTGGTATGTATAATTCTAATGCACCTTGCTTTAAACGACCCCAAATTTAGTAAAATCCCTGACTGCATAAGGCATTCCACATACCTATTGTGCCTGAACCCAATTTGTGAAGCAACCAAAATTCAGCAGGTCGACCAAAATTTAGTCAGGAAATAGGCCGGTATGGATAAATTTCATCCAAAATCACCCAAAATTTTACTAATAAAATGGTAGCCAACGTACTAAGTAAAGCTGCCCAGATAGTAATTTTGCTAGGATATAGTGGGCTGGTATTATGGCTTAATGCCGGTCTAGCTCCGGGCCTATTCCGGCCCTAAATTTTGGTCGATCTGCTGAAATTGGGTTGCTATCCGTGGAAATAAATTTTTTCTTTTTATATTTATTATAGTTTAAAGTACTTTTTAAAAAATTCAAACTATAAAAAAAAATATATAGAAAGTTTTATTAGGGTCGTAAGACCCCACTATTAAAAACAATCAAAATCCCTTTTATTTAGAAAAGTTAGCATAATAACGATTTCTGAAAAATGGATAGAATTAGGCTATCATGTTAACTTCTCTAAAACAAAAGGGAATTTAATCATTTTCAATTGTAGAGTCCTACAACACTAATAAAACTTTCTATATACTTTTTTTTTTATTTTTTATTCTTTGTATTTGTATTTTTTTAAAAAGTACTTTAAACTGTATAACGATAAATCGATTTAAACAGCCAATCATATGAAAGTCTTTCTGTAAGTCAAGCATTGCTATGTATTCAAAGTTTGCATAACAAGACCATTTTTCAAGCGTTTTATATCTTAAAATACTGGTTTAATAATATCATCAAACGTTGCTTAAAATAAAATAAAGCTAATTAGAAGCTTTTCAATTGATTTCGAAAGGTTAAAAGCATATTTCTGAATGAATGATACATATTTCTCAAAGCACCAAACCATCAAAATAATGAGAGAAACAAGCAGTTGTTGTAGTAATGGCAATAAGTGTAATATATTCATAAGGCAATCGATGTCTCAATTTTGTATCCATCTTCTAGTAGAACAATATCGGTATAAAAATTTTTGATATAAAGATTTTGGATGTTGCATAACCAAATGGTAATGCATCGATCATCAATTTTGCAACTAAAAAAAAATTAGGACGGGAATTTTTTACCATACAGTACATATCGATGTAGGTTTACATCTCGATATAGAGATTTATATAAAGGATAAAGGATGATGATCTCGACCAATTATAAGATTAACGCTAAATTTATTTAAATACAGATAACGATAACTAAAAACATAAATGATTCGAGTATCAATAAGATTTTATCAGTGTCACTCACTTTTCACATCGATCCGTCGATCTCATCGATTTAATTCCACTATGAGTCGAACGCTTTCTGATTTTGATGCACTTGTTTTAGGTTCTTACAAAGATGGGTCACTTACGGATACTGCAGCGAAAGAAATTCCTGAAAATTTACAAATAAGCATTCAGGAGCAATTCCAATATTCCGGATTAAAAGGAAAATTGGGTGAAGTTAGAATGTTTTATGGTCTAGGTGGAAATGATGCGAATATTCCAAAAAAAATCGCTGTGGTGGCTTTGGGAATTAATAAAAGTTCTGAGCAAAGCCATAATGTTTCTGAAGCCTTAGAGATAACTCGCAAAGCGGTATCGTATATATCTGTTAAATAAAAATAATATACGTAAATGACGTATTGACATTTATTATGTTGCGTCTTATAGACGGCTATTGGAGTTCGTTCTTTACGAGAGTTAGATGTTAAACATGTTGGAGTTGATGTTATGCTTCATGAACATGGTTTGTATGCTTTTTTCTTTAATGAATTAAAAAATTTTCTTCATTACCTACCATTTGACATATCTTTAGGCGCAGCTGAAGGTGCCACACTAGGCCTCTATAGGTTCGATAGTTTAAAGTCCGC